AAAAAAAAAAAAGGTCATTATGCAGGTACACTTGTTGGTTAGGGGTGACCTGGCTAATTTTTTTTTTTTTTTTTTGAGTTGGAGTCTCACTCAGGCTGGAGTGCAATGGCACACTCATGGTCACCCCAGCGTCGACGTGCTGGGCTCCAGCGATCCTTCCGCCTCCGCCTTCTAAGTAACCGGAACTACAGGCACGCGCTACCATGCCTGACTAATATTTTGGCTTACTGTAGTGACGAGGTCTCGCCAAGTTGCCCAGGCTGGTCTTGAACCCGCGGACTCAGACAATTCACTCGTCTTGGCCTCCCAAAGTGCTGGTATTGCAGGCTGAGCCACTGAGCCCGGCCCTTTTAATTTTTTATATGTTTTTGTAGAGACAGGATCTTGCTATGTTGCCCAAGCTGATTTCAAACTCCTGGGCTCAAATGATACTCCTGCCTCCACCTTCCAAAGTGCTGGGATTATAGATGTGAGCCACTGCACCTGGCCTTTTCTAATATTTTTAAAAAATATAAATGATTTGCTGAATTTTAGCTTTTTGTCAGTTCCACTTGGCTAATACTTTAGGATTATAATTTATTCCAACATTTTTGCACTTTGCTTGTTTCTAGTGAAATCTACTACTTTTATTAATTGATTGATTGAATTGGAGTCTCACTCTGTTGCCCAGGCTGGAATGGAGTGGCACACTCACGGCCACCCCAGCATCTACCTGCTAGGCTCTGGCAGTCCTGCCTCAGCCTTCCAAGTAGCTGGAACTACAGGCATATGCTACTGCTCCTGGCTAATTATTTTGATTTATTGTAGAGATGAGTTCTCGCCAAGTTGCCCGGGCTGGTCTTGAATCGGTGGGCTCAGGCAATCCACTCAGGCAAAGTGCTGGGATTACAGGCTGAGCCACTGAGCCTGGCCTAAATCAACTAACTTTTAAAAACTCTGCCTTGACAGCCTATGCATTTTATTTGTTTTAATGAGGTAGAATACAGTTTTAGAATTTGGAGAATATTTAGGTGTTATCAATAAAATGTAAACTAATTGATGATTCTTTATATTTTATTTCATTAGGCTGCTAGAATTCTACTAGTTCCCTGGGTGAACTTCTTTACATTTGTTCTTAAAATAATTTTTAAAATACATTCTTAGATCTGAGTAGTCAGTGAGTCACAGTTATTAAACAGTATTAATTTCTCTGAACACATTACTATACTTGTCATGGCCTAGGGAGTTCCAGAAATTGGGTTTGTTCAGGAAGTACAAACTCAATTTAACTTCTGAGCAGAATCTTTCTTGTTAGGATATATCCTAAACAGAATCCTTAAGAGATCTGTAACTTGTAACTTATTATTACAAGATATGAATTCTATAAATTTATTATTTCCTTTATGTATGTCTTGTTTATAAAACCTGGCTATATTCCATTGATTTCTTAGCTGCTTGTACTATCCCCTATTCCAAAACATATCAAATTAATTTTTTTCAGATAAAGACAAAATCTTCATTGATCTCCCCAAACTATATGTCATTAGCACTATTTGAGATGAAATAAAAAGGCTGAGGCTCATGGGACATGGTAGGTTCACAAAATATTTGTTGAATTACTTGGTAAAATTCAGTTACTCAATAGATATTTATGGAAAAACTATTTCCAGCCAGTGTAATGGGCAGATAACTATGAATTACAAAGATGAATAAGGCATGGCTTCAACTTTCCAGTAGCTCAGTATCTAGTGAAAAGTGGCATTTCTATTTGAATAGGGAGCCCTCAGATTAAAAATCTGATGATTTTTGGCAATTTTAAAAAAGTTATAGGTAGTGAACCACAGTGAGACTTTTGTTACATACATACACACGTGTGTAATACAGTAGTTATTCAAAAAGAGTTTGAAAACCATTGAATGTTTGAGGATCTGAAGAACACAGGGAAGAAGATCTTCTAAATTATTCAAAGTAAAAATATTTAAAATAACTTTGTTCAGGTTAGAACCATTTTGCTAATTAAAAAAAAATCTTATTTAAATTATAAGCTATCAGGGTGGAAGGGTTTAAATACTTTTTATATATATTTGATATTCTTTGACATTCTGAAATTAGAACATCATGGGAGTAACAGTCAGAAGGTAAGAGGATGCTTGTTCACCAAGTTATTAGAGATTTTACTAGTTTTCAGAGATTTTACTAGTTTTTAAATCAAATGTAGTGCATATGTGTGTGTGTGAGATTCATAAAAGTATCTGTTCTTTTTCTTGTTGGATTCCACACTATTAGCTTCTTTTTTAGATGGGTATGTATAGGGTGTTATAGGAACATAT